ACACTCAGTAACACTCACTGACACTCACTAGCAGACACACACACTAACACTCACTAGCAGACACACCAACACACACTCTCACACTCTCACACACTAACACTCACTCTAACACTCACTCTAACACTCACACTAACACTCACACTAACACTCACACACACTAACACTCACTCTAACACTCACTCTAACACTCACACTAACACTCACACTAACACTCACACTAACACTCACACATGATTTTTTTTTTAAATCTTTTGGAGTGCTGGGGGGATTCCCTGGGGTCCAGTGGTGCTGCTGGGCTCCTGGGCGGGTGGCCGGTCGGGCAGGCAGGCGGGCGGTATCAGTGCGGTGCGCGAGGGAGCTGAAGAGGAAGCACTGAGTGCTCCCTCGCGCGCCCGCCTGCCTGCTCGACCGGCCACCCGGGGTCAGCAGGGCCAGCCTCAGGGGTCGGCTCCTGGGCCCCCCAGGGGAAGAGGCTGGCCCTGTGGCTACATACCGGGTCGCAGGGGCGGCCGGGCCCCCTGGTGGGCTGGGCCCGGTCGCAGCCGTGACCCCTGCTACCCTGGTATGTACGCCACTGAGTGGGGGTGTAGCCTGGGTCGGGGCTGTTCCAAGACATTTTAGGTGACTTACTAACAACAAGTTATACGGATCAAAAATAATTAGTATTATTACTGTGGAGCTCTGTTATACACTCAGACACATTACTGGGAGTATTATTACTGTGGAGCTCTGTTATACACTCAGACACATTACTGGGAGTATTATTGCTGTGGAGCTCTGTTATACACTCAGACACATTACTGGGAGTATTATTGCTGTGGAGCTCTGTTATACACTCAGACACATTACTGGGAGTATTATTGCTGTGGAGCTCTGTTATACACTCAGGCACGTTACTGGGGGTATTATTGCTGTGGAGCTCTGTTATACACTCAGACACATTACTGGGAGTATTATTGCTGTGGAGCTCTGTTATACACTCAGACACATTACTGGGAGTATTATTGCTGTGGAGCTCTGTTATACACTCAGGCACGTTACTGGGGGTATTATTGCTGTGGAGCTCTGTTATACACTCAGGCACATTACTGGGAGTATTATTGCTGTGGAGCTCTGTTATACACTCAGATGCAATATTGGGAGTATTATTGCTGTGGAGCTCTGTTATACACTCAGACATATTACTGGGAGCATTATTACTGTGGAGCTCTGTTATACACCCAGACACATTACTGGGAGTATTATTGCTGTGGAGCTCTGTCATACAGTCAGATACACCAACAATATGGAGCTCCTAGAAAAGAGGGAAAGAGGTATTTGGGCTCAAAATTGTGACTGTCCCTCCTGATTAGGGACACTTGACAGGTATGGTTGACAGGGTGTATTCAGTAAACAGTGGGTTCAGGGCCGTCTTTAACGCGGGGCAAACGGGGCAGCTGCCCCGGGCCCAGTTTCTCTTGGGGGGCCCGAGGCACCTGCCCCGTGAGCCCCGCTGACCCCGGCGGGCGGGTGGCCGGTCAGGCAGGCGGGCGCGCGAGGGAGCACTCACTGCTTCCTCTTCAGCTCCCTCGCGCACCGCACTGATGCCGGAGCCGGAAGATGACGTCATCTTCCGGCGCCGGCATCCCTACGCGGCGCGCGAGGGAGCTGAAGAGGAAGCAGTGAGTGCTCCCTCGCGCGCCCGCCTGCCTGACCGGCCAGACAGCCAGCCCAGGAGGCCAGCAGCACCACTGGACCCCAGGGAATCCCCCCAGCACTCCAAAAGGTAAGGAGGCTGGGGGGATTACATTTAAAAAAAAAAAATGTGTGTTTGTGTGTATGTGTGTGTTAGTGTTTGTGTGTGTTAGTGTTTGTGTGTTAGTGTGTGTGTGTGTTTGTGTGTGTTAGTGTATGTGTTTGTGTGTTAGTGTATGTATGTGTGTGTTTATGTGTGTTAGTGTGTGTGTTTGTGTGTTAGTGTATGTGTGTTAGTGTGTGTGTATGTGTGTTAGTGTATGTGTGTGTTAGTGCATGTGTGTTAGTGTGTGTGTGTTAGTGTGTTGTTATGTGTGTATGTGTGATAGTGTGTGTGTGTATGTGTGTGTGTGTGTGTCAGTATGTCTGTCTGTCTGTGTGTCAGTATATATGTGTGTGTATATCTGTGTGTCAGTATGTGTATGTGTCAGTATGTCTGTCAGTGCGTCAGTATGTCTGTTAGTGCATGTGTATGCATGTGTCAGTATATCTGTCTGTGTGCCAGTATGTCTGTGTGTGTGTGTGTCAGTATATCAGTCTGTGTGTGTCAGTGTATGTGCCTGTGTGTGTGTGTCAGTATTTCTCAGTGTATGTGGGTGTCAGTATATCTGTCAGTGTGTGGGTGTCAGTATTTCTGTCAGTGTATGTGTGTCAGTATGTTGATCAGTGTATGTGTCTGTGTGTGTGTGTCAGTATGTCGGTATATGTGTCTGTGTGTCAGTATGTCTGTATATGTGCCTGTGTCAGTATGTCTGTCAGTACGTCTACCAGTGTATGTGTCTGTGTGTGTGTCAATATATGTACCTGTGTCAGTGTGTCTGTCAGTGTATGTGCCTGTTTATCTGTATGTAGTCAGTGTATGTATCTGTGTATCTGCTTGTGCGTCAGAGTGTGTACCTGTGCATCTGAGCCGCAACTTTAAATACAAATACACCCCTCCATTCAAACTTCAACACTACATATAGAACACACTCCTGCATTGAAACGTCAACACTACATACAAGCACACTCCTACATTCAAAAACAAACACTACACATAAATGCACACTTGCATTCAAACTCCAGTACCACATACAAACACATTCACACAAACATACTCCATACAAACACATGCTTACATTCAAACATACTAACATGGCTCAGTGCTAAATACAACCCTGCAAGCATGGGAAATTGGTAGAGTCCCAGCTGTCAAAGCATTGTTGGAGTTGCACGACAGATGGGGTTCTACCTTTAGTCCAACCTTGCAATTGGGGGTCCCAATAAAATTAATTCTACTTTAGTACCGCCACTGCGTTGGGATGGATGCCGTGATTGCACACCAGGGAGTGAGGGGTGAGAGCGGCACGGCACAGGGGGCCCAAGCAAACACTTGCCCAGGGTCCATTCGTTATTAAAGACGGCCCTGAGTGGGTTATAGTAAATAGTTCGCAGAATCCAGGCCAAAACAGAAAATCTGAAAAACACTCTCCACAGTAGCAATAGTCATTATTTTAAGGACTTGTTTCAGGCTGCATTTTGTTAATCTGTTTCCGATGGACCAAAATTCACTGAGTAAACCCCCTTAGCTGTAACTAAATGAGAACATGGACCTTTTCAACTGAATCGTGACTGGAACCCAAACTACAACCTTTTTATCAAAATAGCTGGAGAATCGGCCCAACACTGCACTCTGGGGGCTTCATTTGGCTATCTGGTTGTCGATTTTAGCACAATCTTTTTTTAGTAAATAAGGAGGGGGCTCAGAGCAGAATATGTGACTGGGCCGCGACATGCAGGGTTAAACAAAACACACAACTTCTCCTGACTGGCAGAATACAAAATCCAGAGGAACCACATTCTAAATCCTGGCTGTATGTGTCACCCCAATCATGCGGAGTTAGCCACTGACTAAATATGATGGGAGTTGCCCTGCATGACAAATACGGTGTCAGATGTACATATATGAGGGATGGAATTAGAAGCATCTCCCCCTCCCCCCCCATTCATATTGTTTTTGTGATAGGATTGGAAAGTAGCTGCGGGCCCTCAGGATCGGCTACATTACAAAGTATCCAGGTACAAGGGCAGTCCCTATACACGGATAATTGTCTAATTAAATAAATGGGTCCACAGCGAACAATCCTAATAAACACAGCAAGGATTCCTACAATAGGGGGCAAGGTTCTAAACACATAGAAATCACCATGGAAACAAATAGTGTCTCTGATGTATGCTTGACTTTTAGAAGTTTGCCCCCAAACACACTTAAAATAACCCGTATTACTGATCTGAACCAGCCATTGTGATTTGAACCACTTTGTAAAAAACAGGGAAGAGTTTTATAAAACTAAAAACAGATTTTTGTGAATAAATGGAATAGGTTACAAAAAAATGTTATTGGAATTATTTAAAAAGTGATGTATGCTAAACCTATGACATCACTTGTTTTGGCGCACGCACAGATAATAATAATATAAAATATATAGATTTAGGTGCGTGTCATTTTCCACGTGGCACGTCCTACAATGCACATTAAATGGATTATTCACTTAACGGTGTGTTCTGAGTTATCAGTCATTTTTATAAATCTAGTCCAAAGTAATCAAGTTGGAATAAATTCCCAGCAAAACGAAAGTTGCCTTCTCTGCTACTTTAGTCTAGAGGCAACGATCAGCTCATGATGTCTCACTGTTTAGTGAATGAGCCCCTCAAGAGGATTTTAGGATCTCTGCCCATAGCTACAGATGGTTGAATTAGTGTCACCTGTGCAAATGAAGGTACCACCTGTGTTCATGAATGGAGATTTTACAAACCTGCAGTATGGGTTAGTCCTGACTATTGAGGCCCATCAAGGAGCTTCTTAATTTGTGTAATAAATGACAGATCATTAACATGTAATTGACCACAGCTGCCGCTATGCAGGTCCTGTGGCTTCAAATAATTACTATATTTATGAACGTTATGATTGACGAGAACGGGGGGATTTTGCAGACAGCTGCCTCAATTGGCAACGTATAAGGGGCATGAATGGGACTTGGGTCGTGCATGGGGCCACTTTAAGGCACTATTTGGCAAAGATTTACTAATGAACCCTGTGCTGTTCTTTGCTCACCCACCTTCCCTCGAAACTTAACTGTTACTTATAACACCATCTAAACCAGTGGCAGCCACAGGTAGGTGGACGGCTCTACTGACACATTCTCTCCAACAGTCCAAAATGTGGTGGGAAAGTCCTGATTTTGGAACCCAGTTCTACTATGTAGCATTTCTACAAAACTGGAGTCTCAAACATTGGCACAATAGCGCAACATTAAACATGTCTGCTCTGTGTGCTGAGCTGGCACAGGGTACTTTGCCCGTATGATAGTGTTCTGCAGCGCTGTGTATATGGGCAGTGCCAACATTAAACATTTCTGCTCTGTGTGCTGAGCTGGCACAGGGTACTTTGTCCACATGATAGTGTTCTGCAGCGCTGCGTATATGGGCAGCGCCAACATTAAACATTTCTGCTCTGTCTGCTGAGCTGGCACAGGGTACTTTGCCCGTATGATAGTGTTCTGCAGCGCTGTGTAAATGTCTGCTCTGTGTGCCGAGCTGGCAGAGGGCACTTTGCCCGTATGATAGTGTTCTGCAGCGCTGTGTATATGGGCAGCGCCAACATTAAACATGTCTGCTCTGTGTGCTGAGCTGGCAAAGGGTACTTTGCCCGTATGATAGTGTTCTGCAGTGCTGTGTATATGGGCAGTGCCAACATTAAACATGTCTGCTCTGTGTGCCGAGCTGGCAGAGGGCACTTTGCCCGTATGATAGTGTTCTGCAGCGCTGTGTATATGGGCAATGCTGACATTATAGACACACCCCAAAGAAAAAAAGTTGAATTGTTTTGGTATTTGTTTGGTTATAACTTGCTTTTACCCATCATGTTATCTTGTACATACTCCTTCTTTGTGATAAAGTGCAGCAAATGAACAGTTCAGGCCTGCAGTATGTAGCATTCACACGCTACACAATTACAATGTTAAAACAATGAATGCAGTCCTTTGCATTTCCTGATTTATAAAAATATTCATTATCTGCACGTTCCATGTTATCATTTTTATACTTGGTTTATAAAGCGCCAACACATTTTGCCGCGCTGTACGTAGGAACAAGTGGTACATGTACTAGCCAGCGCTTTGAGCAAGAACCGCCTGGATCAGTTTCGGGCAGGCACCATCTGCTGCATGGACTGGCGACAGGCGGGTTGGACTCTTGGACATTGGGTGTTTTTATCTTTGTGATGGGCAGGTCGTTCAGTATCTGTTTTGGAGAGGCAGGTCACTGAGGCCATTTGGACGTCTCCCCCCCTACCCCCCGGTTTGGGTTTGCAAGGTAACTATTTTAGGGTTGTTATGACTCTCCATTAAATAATATGCAAATTAGGCTAATTAGGCTATTGTGATAACTAGCATGTTGCATCGATGTATCTCTGGTTTTCTATAGTGTGGAAAGTTGTAATTATGTTCTATATTTGAGGTTTTATTATGTTGCTTGTTCTTCACATTATGTCTCTATTTATTTTTTGTTGACCACAATTGGCAACTCCAAACATTACTTGTGATTGACATTGTACTGCAGAGTCCTTTTCAGTTCAGCCAGTGCTCACTCGCAGGTCTGCCTTTCGACAACTGGGGCTAAAGAGTTTCAGTTTTCCGGCATGCGGCAAGGAAGCGGTTTGGGCAGAGGTTCTCGGTCACCACAGGTTGCACGTTTTCTCTTTTTGTATCTTCATTACCCCAATGGAGTATTGTGGTGTGCTTGATGGCACTCTATGGTACACACTAACAAGAGATAACATTGTGATTGGCTCAGTAGGAACACACATCCTTCTATGAGAAATGGAATGTGCCATACCATGGAGATCACTGACAAATGGATGAAAAAGATTTGGACCAGGACAACGCATAGATGGGCAATGTCAACAAGCATACCATGACTGGCCACATGATTAAACTGCAGCAACGGTGTTGCCAACTCAACACAGCTGCAGCTAAACCTGTAATGTACTGCGGTAACACACAGCACACGCTAACAGAGCAGAGTCCAGTTTAGATATTGGGAGCAGGGTTCGGTTTATATATTGGGAGCAGAGTCCGGTTTATATATTGGGAGCAGGATCCCGGTTTAGATAGTGGGAGCAGGGTTCATTTTAGATATTGGGAGCAGGGTCCGGTTTATATATTGGGAGCAAGATCCCGGTTTAGATAGTGGGAGCAGGATCCCGGTTTAGATAGTGGGAGCAGGATCCCGGTTTAGATAGTGGGAGCAGGATCCCGGTTTAGATAGTGGGAGCAGGATCCCGGTTTAGATAGTGGGAGCAGGGTCCGGTTTATATATTGGGAGCAGGGTCCGGTATAGATATTGGGAGCAGGGTCCGGTATAGATATTGGGAGCAGGGTCCGGTTTAGATATTGGGAACAGGGTCCTGTTTAGATTTTGGGAGCAGGGTCCGGTTTAGATATTGGGAGCAGGGTCCAATTTAGATATTGGGAACAGGGACCCGTTTAGATATTGGGAACAGGGTCCAGTTTAGATATTGGGAGCAGGGTCCAGTTTAGATATTGGGAACAGGGACCCGTTTAGATATTGGGAGCAGGGACCCGTTTAGATATTGGGAACAGGGACCCGTTTAGATATTGGGAGCAGGGTCCAGTTTAGATATTGGGAGCAGGGACCCGTTTAGATATTGGGAGCAGGGACCCGTTTAGGTATTGGGAGCAGGGACCCGTTTAGGTATTGGGAGCAGGGACCCGTTTAGGTATTGGGAGCAGGGACCCGTTTAGGTATTGGGAGCAGGGACCCGTTTAGATATTGGGAGCAGGGTTCAGTATAGATATTGGGAGCAGGGTCCGGTATAGATATTGGGAGCAGGGTCCGGTATAGATATTGGGAGCAGGGTCCGGTATATATATTGGGAACAGGGTTCAGTTTAGATATTGGGAGCAGGGTCCAGTTTAGATATTGGGAGCAGGGTCCAGTTTAGATATTGGGAGCAGGGTCCAGTTTAGATATTGGGAACAGGGACCCGTTTAGATATTGGGAGCAGGGTCCAGTATAGATATTGGGAGCAGGGTCCAGTTAATATATTGGGATCAGAATTGAGTTTATAATGGGAGACATGCAGGTTTTGTGGCAGGCCAAATCATTTCACTAGAGTATGTCTGTCTAAAACAGGACAGTCGTCTTTAAGAGACAGCTTCCCTTACTGAATCATTTTCCTATCATCCTCAGCCGGCCTTTTGTGTTTAAATACAGTCTGTTGTGAGGATTTGTTTTTGGAGTGGGGACAAAATTGATGGATTAAGGGATTTTTCACCAAACAGAGCATTGCTGTGACTTGGCAAGGAAGATGTAAATTTCAGGACAAAACAGAAAGAAATTCTCAAATTCAACCAAGTTGGAGCTTATTCCACATCAACTATTTTGGCCTGAACCCTGTAACTCTGCTGTCAAGTCTCAGCAAATCACTGTTTAGTGAACTAATCCCCGTGAATTATCTGCAGGTTGTTTTTTTTTATCGTGAAATAAATTGCGTAAAATGTAATCGGAGCGTATGCCAAGCTGTGCCCAGTTATCTTGAAGGTGCCCTTCCAAGCAAAAGCTCAAGGTTTATAAATGCGTGGGAGAAGCAAGCGGCAGACAATGGGACGGACGCTCCATCGCTTTCCCTCTAAGTGTCCCCGCAGATTTACTGGATTCACTTCGGCAAGAAGAAAAAATAATCCATACAATTCCAGTGACTTCTGCATATCAGGGATTGCTTTGTGTGTTACATCGCACAGAACAATAGCAGAGATAGTCCAATATCTTTCCTATAACCTCCGATTCTCATCATTAATTAAAATTAAAACCTGGTTTAAATGGGATTTAATATGTAGTTTTACTCATTTTTTTTTATATTCCCCTTTATCAAATAATGCACAAAAATGTAGGAATTTTACTGAGCAAATATGTTATTTAAATCAAAGTTTTAAACCCAGATATTAACAGTTTAGATTTTTTGAAAAGTTCACTTTTATGAAAGCATCGGAACCGCTCATGTGGGGAGAATACCCCATCTTAAAGGATCACTATAGGGTCAGGAACACAAACATGTATTCCTGACCCTATAGCGTTAAAACCACCATCTAGCCCCCCTGGGCCCCTCATGCCTCCATAAATATAGCAAAATCTTACTGTATTCAAGCCTGAAGCTGTAACTCTGCATGTTGTTAGACTCAGAAAAACAAGCAGTGTGCAGACATCATCAGAAGTGGAAGCCTGATCCAATCACATTGCTTCCCCATAGGATTGGCTGAGACTGACAAAGACGCAGATCAGGGGCAGAGCCAGCATAATTCAAACACAGTCCTGGCCAATCAGCATCTCCTAATAGAGATGAATTGAATCAATGAATCTCTATGAGGAAAGTTCAGTGTCTGCATGCAGAGGGAGGAGATACTGAATGTTTGGATGCATTTTAGGCAGCAATGACCCAGAAAGGATCTCTAACAGCTATCTGAGGAGTGGCCAGTGAAGTTATCACTAGGCTGTAATGTAAACACTGCATTTTCTCTGAAAAGACAATGTTTACAGCAAAAAGCCTGATGGTAATGATTCTACTCACCAGAACAAATTCAATAAGTTGTAGTTCTGGTGACTATAGTGTCCCTTTAAATTTTCTCTAATGATGCCTATTGCACAATGCTTATGGTGGCAAACCTGGGATGGTGGACAGATACCTGAATTCAGGACCGTCCTGCTGAATCTAGGCCTGTTGGAAACTTTGATACATTGAAATCTCAATTTAGTGAATGGCTCTGTCAGAGTGTTTGTATACAAAGTATGATATTAATTAAACCAGGAATTGTGGAGAAATTTCAAAGTAAATTTCAAATTTATGGTAAAAAACTGGAAAAATTGAAAATCAGCCATGCTATGGTAGGACAGCCACGGCAGCCCTGCGCGATGACTCAGTTAGTGATGTCATACAGTCCTATAGTTTGCAGTACATAGAAAATGCGACACTCCACAGTAGTTTTGCTTTGTGCGGAATGATTGGGGAAACACGTGTTTTCATACACACTGAGAATTTGATTCCAAGAACACAGTTCTGTAAAAACATATAATTTCATGCAAATTGACATAAATATGCAACAGAAAAAAATTCCAGTCTTAAATACTGTTTCTAACAGGTAAATATGATTCCAATCTATTTTGATAATATATTCGCTTTAAGCCCACTGTGCAGAATAAATGTGTGATAATTATATACGGTGGGGAATAAGTGCAAATATAACATTGAGTTAATAACGATCTGTGGGGTAATAAATGTAGATTGGTTAACTAGTTACCGGATAGGAGTGTTAACCTCTTACAGATTGTTCTACTGATACGTCAGTCATTCTCCTTGTCTGTAAACTCAAATCTGCACTGTTTCTCTACATTGTGATAAATGTCAATTTTCAGTTATTCTCTAGACTTGGAACCGGGCAGAATTTGGCATTTTCAAATATTGGGCCAAAATTGCTGAAGGGGTATATTTCCAATCTGGATATTACGGCCTCAAATGTGCCCAACCAAACCCGGATTAAGGTTTTCCAGTTCCCTAGGCAGGGTGCCAGTTTGGGGCCCCATCCTAGAGCCTTGG